TTTGGAATTGGAATGTAAACTGACCTTTTCCAATCCTGTGGCCACTGTTGAGTTTTCCAAATTTGCTGGCAAATTGAGTGTAGCACTTTTACTGCATCGTCTTTTAAGATTTTGAATAGCTCAGCTGGAATACTGTCACCTCCACTAGCTTTGTTGTTGCTCAGATTTTCTAAGGCCCATTTCACTTCACATTCTAGGATGTCTGGTTCGAGGTCAATGACCATCTCATTGTGGTTATCTGGGATGTTAAGCTCATTCTTGTATAGTTCTTCTGTGTAGTTTTGCCATCTCTTCTTAATCTCTTCTGCCTCTGTTAGGTCTCTGCCATTTTGGTCCTTTATCATGCCCATCTTTGCATGAAACGTTCCCTTCATATCTCCAATTTTCTTGAAGAGATCTCTGGTCCTCCCTATTCTGTTGTTTTCTTCTATTTCTTTGCACTGTTCATTTAAGAAGGCATTCTTATCTCTTCTAGCTACTCTCTGGAATTCTGCATTCAATTGGGTGTATCTTTCTCTTTCTCCTTTGCCTTTCGCTTCCCTTCTTTCCTCAGCTATTTGCAAAGCTTCCTGAGACAGCCATTTTGCTTTCTTGCATTTCTTTTTCTTTGGGATGGTTTTAGTTGCTACCTCTTGTACAATGTTGCGAACTTCCATCCATAGTTCTTCAGGCATTCTGTCTATCAGATCCAGTTCCTTAAATCTATTTGTCACCTCTACTGTATATTCATCAGGAATATGATTTAGTTCATACCTGAGTGGCCTAGTGCTTTTCCCTACTTTTTTCAATTTAAGCCTAAATTTTGCAACGAGAAGCTCATGATCTGAGCCACAGTCAGCTCCTGGTCTTGTTTTTACTGACTGTATAGAGCTTCTCCATCTTTGGCTGCAGAGCACATAGTCAATCTGATTTCTATGTTGACCGTCTGGTGATGTCCATGTGTAGAGCCGTCTCTTGGGTTGTTGGAAAAGAGTGTTTGTTATGACCATCGTATTCTCTTGACAAAATTCTATTAGCCTGTGCCCTGCTTCATTTTGTTCTCCAAGGCCAAACTTGCCTGTTATTCCGGTTATCTTTTGGCTTCCTACCTTAGCATTCCAATCCCCCATGATGATAAGGACATCATTTTTTGGTGTTAATTCTATAAGGTGCTGTAGGGCTTCATAGAACCGGTCAATTTCATCCTCTTCAGCACCAGTGGTTGGGGCATAGATTTGGACTACTGTGATATTGAATGGTTTGCCTTGGATTCGAATTGAGATCATTCTGTCATTTTGGGGATTGTATCCCAGTATTGCTTTTCCTATTCTTTTATTGACTATGAAGGCTACTCCATTTCTTCTGAGGGATTCTTGCCCACAGTAGTATACCTGATGGTCATCTGAGTTAAATTCACCCATTCCTGTCCATTTTAGTTCGCTGATTCCTAAGATGTCGATGTTCAGTCTTGTCATCTCTTTTTTGACTACGTCTAGCTTGCCTTGATTCATGGATCTTACATTCCAGGTTCCTATGGAGAAAAAATCTTTACAGCATCGGACTTTCCTTTCACCACCAGATATATCCACAGCTGAGCGTCCTTTCGGCTTTGGCCCAGTCGCTTCATTCTTTCTGGCGCTACTAGTACTAGCCCTCTGCTCTTCCCCAGTAGCATATTGGACACCTTCCGACCTGAGGGGCTCATCTTCCAGCGTCATATCTTTTTTCCTTTTAGTACTGTCCATGGGGTTTTCATGGCAAAGATACTGGAGTGGTTTGCCATTTCCTTCTCCAGTGGATCACATTTTGTCAGAACTCTCTGCTATAACCTGTCCGTCTTGGGTGGCCCTGCACGGCATAGCTTATAGCTTCATTGAGTTACACAAGCCCCTTCGCCACGACAAGGCAGTAATCCATAAATGGGGTTATTCTGAATAGAATATATTAAATTTTAGATCTATCTCTTTTTGAAATGATAATAATGCACTGTTAGTAACTTAAATGAAATAAAATATTTAAAGCAACTTAATAAACAGACTTCATTTGGGCTTCTGCATAGAGAATGCAGAACAAGCTGTACTTTTATTATAATTTGGGCAGAATGTAGCTGGTTGTAATCTTTCCAATAGTTCGCCAGGTTTTATTGCTTACACTAGGGCAATAATGGATTAGCACATAAAAGAGGACATGTGACGTGTCCTTCTCTAGTTTAAAGGTACAAGGTCATGGAGATGACCATATTAGTCTGTGAGTTGTGTTAAGAGGCGTACTTTTTTTTTTAAACTCAGCTCATTTTAAAATGAAATGAAAATTACAGAAGGATGACTTTAACCAATATTTTAATGTCTCACTGTCTATGTGGGTCTGCAGTGACTGTGTCCAATGCTAAGGTATGCTCTTGGGAAAAGTTTTCTTTCTGATTTGCTTGCCCTTGTCTGGTGTATAATTTCAAGTGTTTAACTAGTGTAAACTAGTATAACTATTTTTAACTTCAGTGTTATGCTGTTTTCAATCAGATAACACATTTAGAAGAAGAAAGTTCTGTAATATGAATTGCTGCCAACTGTTGGGAGCATGGGAGTAGACCATTGAAGAGTTTCATTTAAGTTGTTAATATTGTACTATGTAACAAGGATGTACAATAAAGGAAGGGGTTAATCATTTGAACACAGAGAAGTTGATGTCTGACTGCAGTCTTATGCAGATATATTCAAGAGTAACTCTGAATATAGGGGGATGCATGTTCAATTAAACATTCATCAGGTGGGTTACCCAGGTCTATTGCTGACTTGTTTGCCTGAGGTAAGGCTCATGCAGGGAGTTGTTTCTTAATAAGCAGGTGAAAGTTAGGACAATTCAGAGTGCAGGCTGTGTAAGTATTTGGAAGTAAGACTGCTCAGTACAGTCTTTTCCTCAGTTATGGTGCTTAAAATTACAGCCTTTGCAATATTTTGCTTATCTTTATCCATAACAATTTCATATCTTTAGGACTTGAAAATATATATTCTAACTGGATGTTATTTTTAATAATATGTTGCATTATGTCTTGAAATCCTAGCAGAGGGTGAAATTAGCAAGCGAGTGGGAAGTATAGATGATTACCAATATTTGGTATTTTCTAATTGGAATGTTTATCATCTGCAGTCTGAGTCCTTCCAAATGACTAAAATGGCCATTCCCAGGCATGCTAGCTAGTGAATTATGGGAGTTGTGGCCCCATAATACTTGGAAGGTATCAGATTGGAAAATATACTTTGGACCACTGGTAGGGTCCCTACTTTCATAGTCCAAATGTTGCTCAAACATCTTTTCTTTCAGTTAGTTATAAGCAAAATTCAGATCAATGGATCAGTTGATAGCATAATAGTTGCTTTTTCTCTTCTCATATCTTCATTGTGATGACAACTTGCTGCCGATTTCAAGTAAGGAGCAACTATAATTATGTAAGTCGTCACTTGGCCCCATTGTTATTGACATTTGGCCTTTGGAAAGTATCACCAAACTATTGAGGAGACTCTTCTATAGCTTTGCTTCAAGCCAACTTTCTTTAGCCAGATGCTTCTAGCTATGTTAGTTACCATGATCTCCCAGATGGCATAGGCCTATGCCAGCTGGAGAATTGTCAGAATAGAAATTCAACATATCTGGAGGTTATTGGGTTAAGGAAGAGTACTGTAGATTTTGTTCAAAGGAAGGCATGTTCTTTTAAGTATAGATATTAGAATCTTTTTGAGTTAATTGTTTCTATTCATTCCCGTCAGATAAGGTTTCAAAATCATCTGCCAATATAAAGATAGTTTCTAGTTTCACAGATTGCACTGAGACACAATATGTATGTATGGCAGGGGTGGATAGGGATGATCTGTTCATTTTCCATTAAGCATATTATGTAAATCAAGAGTTAAGCTTCATAAGCCATGATTTACAAACCAGCCCTTTCTGGCTTGCTCAGCCAACATGGATAAAAGAAAATGAGTTATCATGATGAATAAACCTAATATCTTCTGCAAATTAATTGAAAAAATAGCTAAGAAAATGAATGTAACAATATGCATGTGTCCTCTTAATTAAATCTCTGTGTTTCATGGAACTCACAACTTAGCAAGAAAGTTGCAGAGTGAAGCATAAGGTTCACTTTTGATAACAGTAGTACAAAAGAAAAATGAGATAGCAAGTCATTAATGTATCTTGGCTTTTTTCCAAAGTAATTTCAAATTATCATAGCCGTATATTTCATGTCCTACAATGACCCATAACTTCCCCATTATTCAATATTAATATCCCTCAGTTAAGAGCAAACAGTTGGCGATACTGTATAACCATTGCATTTTGCAACAAAACATGTTATAATGTCATTGCACAAATAACTAAATTATGTAGTTTCCCTAAGTACATTTTAACATATGGAAATCCATAAGCCATGTCTTAATACATGTGCCATCATTTCTCTTTCATGAGTCTCTTGAGGACACCTTTGACTGCATCAGTTATAATTCCACAGTCAACCTGGTCTTTGTAAGAATTATAATTATAACACACAGGAAATCACAGATCGGAAAACATTATTTTATGCCTTGGTCTATTTTATGCTAGAAACTACTGGATAAATATCTCCTTTTTTAAAAAAAATGCTTATATTTTGGTAAAATTTCCTAACAAAAGAAAAATGTCTATGAATTGGCCATTGGCTTTTTTCCATTAATGTTTTACCACAGTCTATCACATTTGCTATCAAATATGGTTGATTGTATATGTATAATCTCATCAAATGGCTTATTTTACTTTTGTTGCCAGGGATGGGGGGTTATTGTTTTTTTATTGATTTTTTTTATATTGTTTTTTTATCCTTGTGAGCCACATGGAGTCACTGAGAAGAAATTGGGTGGCCATATAAATTTTGTTAAATTAAATAAATGGAAATGGAAATTGCATGATATATAGACCCTATTTAGAACAGCTTAAATCCTTACATGATTTTAAAATATTTTTGGTTTATTTGACTTGTTCACCTTTGAAAAAAGGTTGTTACTGATGATCACTGGAAGAAGTTTCCATTCCAAGATGAAGAAAAAACAGATGCTCAAAAAGTCCCAACTAGAAGATGGAGTTCTGGAAAAAGATCTCGGCCTCGGCCCCTCTCAGATTATGGCCAATTGGCAATTAGAAGTTTTTCCATTCCAGAAGATTCTGTTGCTATGGATTCCCAGGAAATGGACTCTTTGGAGAATGACAGTGAGACCAAGCCTCCCCCTGTTAAATCAGGAACTTGTGCAGTAACCAACCCAAAAGGCGACAGAAGACGACCCATCTCTGTCATTGGTGCAGTCAGTTACTATGAGAATAACCAAACAGAAGAAATAACTGCTCTCCTTGCACAAGTAAGAAATAAAATTCACTCACTGAAAAAAACTCAATCAAAAGATCATCCTTCTCTTCTTCCCTGTAACCTTCAACATAGTGGACACTCCTATTCCTTCTTTCTGCTTCTTCCAAATCACCACCACATAATTATTCTTCTAAAAGCATGATATCAGATTAATTAATACTTTTATATAGATAATCCTTGCTCTATAATTGTACACAATAGTATATTAACTTTCCCCCCTGAATGTTGATGCTTCTATTTGAGGCTTTAAGATATTTCTCTTTTACTATGCACTTCTTCATTCTGTAATAAAACAGTAGTGATAATGTTGCATTATAAGAAAAGTAACATGATATTTCAGAGTATTAAGACATTTATGAATAGCAATTGGAGCATTTATATAAGCAATTTAATGCAGATTTACAAGAGACCCTCCATGATTCATGATGATTCATGAATCAGGCCTAGATAGTTAGAATATGATTTTCATAATTACAAAAATTTAAAAGCATAATAAATGTTTGTTATTATTTCATTGGTATTTTAACATAATTATTGAAAATCAAAGACCTTGTTATCATGTACATAATATGATCATCGAGAGGAATGGTTATATATTCCTCTATGTATTATGCAAGAATTGCTTTGTGATGCTACCTATGTCTATTCTTTTATTTTTCATTATCCAACTTTTCTGTCAGAAAAAAAAACCAAAGCAGGCAACCATCATTATAAAATCCTTTTAAGAAAGTCACAATAATCTGATATATCATGACTCTAATTTGTGGGACTAGTTAGTTGCAGACTTTCATCTAAAGTTGACCTTTTGATTATGAAAGTATAAGTAATAAATAACATAGAAATACGAAGGGCCTATTGATTTTTTAAAAAACAAAATGAAGATACAAATCAAGTTATAATATTGGAAGCTATACATTATTGTGTTACAATTCCAAGAAGGAATGTTATAAACAATAGTTTGTCTGCAAATGTTCTCAAGAGCTTGCAACCTCAAGATACCCATCTGCAATTCATTTATAGGTTGTTATGCTATATCAATTACACATATGGACTTAATTCTTATTTTTAACTTGCAGTTTTTTAAAAAGTATGTTTATATTTTTAGACATACAGCCCACTCTTAAATGTTGCTTGTGTGATGGCACGTTGTAACCAAAAACAAATTTTGCAGACATAACCAAAAAAAGGGGAAATAATTTTTCTTAACAAGATACATCTATTTCATTCACTCAGAATTCAAATTGTGAATGTATGAATACAATTATTTGTGATACAAACTCTGTAAATGTGTAGACTTTGAGTTGTGTGAGTGATGTATGTGGAGTGAAATAGTGGAGTTCATTTAAATAAAACTATATTTTACAATACGTCTCACTGAACTCAGTAGATTTTGAATAGGTCTAGCTGTATTATCTGTAGGTTTCTGGTATAGATACCTTGTTTAGAAATGTTCTCTGTTCTTGCCTTTGAATATTTGCAAAGACAGCTTTTTTTATTTCACAGATAAATATAGAAGTTTTGCAAAAAAACCAAAAACCCTCCCACCCTTGAATTATTTACTTTAATATTAATTTCCTTTCAGGGCAGCATTTTGTACTAACAATGTAACAGTCACTACAGTATTTATTCATTTATTGGGGGAAAAACTAGGCTATTGTTTTTAAACTTCCCATTGTGGAAACATCACAAATATTGTTTCATTATGTTGTTACTTTTCTTACAATTTCAACAAGATGGGCAGTTTTTACCTATGATTCACCCTCCTGCTTCCCTCATACTCTATTCTCCCAGGCTCTCTTCTACAGTAAAAGTTTGCTGTTCTGTTGCATATTTACTGGATGTAGGCTTGAAGTAAATACTATCTTACTGCCAGTGTTAATAAAAAGCTGAAATGCTTGCAAACAAATGTCTAGAAAACACTGTAAACTCCTTGTGCTTGTATAGGACCCACAAGGAAAATGGGACGTAGAGGGTTTTATTAGTGAACCATCTAGTTCAGGGGTAGGCAACCTCAGCTCTTTTATGATTGATGGACTTCAACTCCCAGAATTCCTGAGCCAACCATGCTGGCTCAGGAATTCTGGGAGTTGAAGTCCATAAGTCATAAAAGAGCCAAGGTTGCCTACACCTGATCTAGTTTAACTGGAAGAGAAGAAGCACTGTAAAGATGATGGATCAAAACAGATTTTGAAGTTTTTTGTAAATATCATATTATTTTAAGAAAAAGAAAAAGGAAATCAGCTGTATGCAAAGAATGAGGGAAAGTGCACAAAAATACCAGGATATTTAAGTTGTATTTCTGTTTCTTAATCAGCTTTTTTAAAAAAAATCAATCTAGACTGTAAGCTAGTAGAATGCCAGAAAGCAAAACAAAATCCCTTACTAATACTACTTTCATTTGCTTGACAATTTAATTTAGAAGGAAGCATTTCAGTTTCAATGAATATTAAGCTTTCCAGATAAAAGAGCTACTTGAAAGGCTGTGAAAACCTGACAAAGAGGTTGTCAGAGCTTTAGAACTGAAATGTGAAAAGTGCTCACTTCCTCTTCATTAAGAGCAAATTAGTTAAAAAGAGCTAATAAGCAAAAATGAAAAGGGATATTTTATTTTTATAGAAGAAGAAGAAGAAGCTTAGAGTTAGACATTTGTATGAAAACATGAATTAAAAATTGCTTTTAAAAATATTTGTTGTGTTGCATTTGTGAACAGGACCAGAAAAAAGTAGGTCATGAAAATCAAATGCTCTATCCCTGATTCATGGTTTCAGCCAAATCATAAACCAGGGCCTTCCTATGTAAGAAGGATTAAAAAAAAGCCAAGATGATGATTGTGACCCATGATCAAAGCCCCAGTGATGAGTAAGGGTGAAGCTTCAGCTGTACGGTTGCAGCTGCCATCTTGACTTTTTTTTTACCCTCCCTGCAGAACCCCTTGTCATAAACCATAAACATAAAATGACCCACATGGGTTGCTTCTTTGCTTCCTGCTATGCTTAATAACATGGCAACCCCCCCCCCCCCCGCAAAAGAACCCTTTCAGTAATGGGTCTGAAATTTTCCCTGTTATTTATTTTATAAGCTCTTGGGAGCTTATAGGAAGCTATATTTACCTGAGCCCATCCTAGAATTTAAATGGTGAATATAATAATACTAATGAGAGTTAATATGTTTCTGGGTTTAGTGTGTTTGTACATTTTGACTGCAAATGAAAAGTACTCTGGTGATTATGGAGACTGTTGCTTTAGAGTAACTAGTATCTCCATAGTAACTTAAGTTTGCATTTCATTTAATTTAGTTTTGCTATATTTACTTGATTGTATCAACTTCTAAGAGTCTTGATACATCATTAAATGAACTCCGTCAAAAATTACTGTGCACACCTCATATATGTCAATTGCTCAGTGTTTAAACTATACAAGTATCACTAATTTCAGCTAGAAAAGAAAAATTGCCCTTCTTATTCCCCTCCCAAATTTAGTCAACATTTAATTCAGTGATTCTTTAGAATATGAAATAATTATTTATTATTTGAATTTATTATGGCCGCCCAACTCTAATTGATAGAATATGTGCATGTATTTTAATACAAACATATTAAAATGCTAAATAATAGATGGGCCATGCAAAAAAAAGGAAGTTCTTTTGCTTTTGTTTATTGCTTCAGCAAGCTATATAATCCTATGTTTTATTTCACTTTATTTCTCTTTCCTATGCTTTCACTTAGTTCCAAGAAGTCAGGTAGCATATATTGTTGGATTTAATTTTTTCAATAAACTATTTTTTCCTGAAATATATTCTGAATATCTGCAAGCTTTAGACTTTTCCCAAACCCTCTGATATTTTCCATGTTTGCATGAATGACACCCTTGTATACAAGAAATTATATTCACCTCATAGTAGAAACAGAGGTAGCAGAGGAACAGTATGTTGCAGCAAAATATGGTTTGTTCAATATGTCAGTCAGCCTGCAAGATCTTTTCTTCCGGATGTTCTAATATATTACCTCTCTTCTCCATTTTCACATTACTTGATCAGTTGTCCCTGAAAATGACTAGTACGGTTATTAATAATACATTTATAAAGCCACCTAATCATAAGTAGTTCAAGGAGGCATGCAAAGAGAGTTTAAAAAATCATAATAAATGGGCCATAGGAATTTTAGAGAAAATGCTATAGGTAGTCCTTGACTTAAAGCCACAATTGAGCCCAACATTTATATTGCTAAGAGAAATTTGTTAAGTGAGCTTTGCCCTCTTTTATGACTTTTCTTGCCCCGTGTGAATCACCGCAGATGTTAAGTTAGTAACAGGGTTGTTGAGTGAATCTGGCTTCCCCATTGACTTTACTTGTCCAGAAGGTTGCAAAAAGTGATCACATGATCCTGGGACACTGCAACCGTCATAAATATGAACCAACTTTCAAACATCTGAATGTAAATCATGTGAACATGGGGATGCTGCAACGGTCGTAAGGGTGAAAATTGGTTATCAGTCACTGTTTTCAGTGCCGTTGTAACTTCAAATGGTCACTAAATGAACTGTTGTAAGTCAAGGACTACCTGTATTCCAAAAGTGAAGAACAGTGACAGAGAAGCATGCCTCCCCTAGACAAAGGGACCCAGAGTATGCCAATCCTGCCTCCGGGGGTCATCAAGCAGGTTTGTTATTTCCAGGGCTGTTTTTAAATTTCTTGCTATCCTTTCCCCCCACCCCCACCCCAACCTTTAAGTTTGGATAGGAGATAGGATATCCTGCAGATTTTATCTCTTTTTGTATTTGGAGAATTAATTAGCGCTAAAATAGATTATCGATCTTGAGAATAAAATGGAAGCTTAATGCTAATTTATAGCAAGAGCTTCTTTTATGCTTGTTTCAAAAACAATTTCCAAATAAATATTATTTCCTGCACTGCTGTAATAAAAGATTTTTTTTTTTTCCTTTTTAGCCTGTGGCACGGCCTCCGGTACCAGCACATCAGGTTCCCCCCTACAAAGCTGTCTCAGCCAGATTCCGCCCCTTCACCTTTTCTCAAAGCACTCCCATTGGTCTGGATAAAGTTGGGTGTAAGCGTCACATGAGAGCATCCAATGGTGAGTTTCATTTGGGATGAAAAAAGTAAATAAAGTCAGAATATTCAAAAGTTTTACTTTACTGTTTCTCAACACTCACACTTTGGAATTCAGCTTCTGTAGAAATTCCTCTTAAAAATAATTGTCTTCTTCAAACATATTTTCAACTTGGATTTTTTTTTCTGTACCCTCAGAATCACAGTTTTAGAAGTTTGTGGTATTTTAATGTTTGTATGTTTGCTTAATTGCAAGGCTCTTTCTTCTTTTATCAAGAAAATAAATATTTTAAAAATAGAATAGAGTCACGTATGCTCCGTGCGTAGTATTTTAGCCTGGAGATTTGTATTCTTTTTATAGATGCCACCACATTTTCTTAAACTAAGTGGTGTTCTTAAGGGAATTATAATTTAAAAGATATAGAAAGTATCAGGTTACCAATCCATGTGTGAGAGTGGGGGTGTGCCCTACATGTGCATGTTGATGCATCTCGAACCTACATCTTTATGTGGGTGTGTGTACGCCCATATGTATACGTTATGTATTATGATAACATTACTGTTCAAAATAGAAAGGATTGCTACAATATTGCTTTGGCAACTTCCTTGCTAAAATCACATTATATTTCAGCAGGCATGCAAAATTGGTGTGCTTTAATCTGGTCTTCCCAACCTACCAGTTTCCTTATTACATTATTTTTTTGTCCTGCTGGAAATAAGCAGTCAGGACAATAATCTGTTTTAGAGCATTAACACCATACAATCAATTTGATGTACTTTCACATTCCTGGTTTCTTATTTTTGTTTTCAGCTGCTAGTTGATGGCTTGTCTGGAGTCCTCAATGCTGTCTGTTTGCTTGCGGACATTTCATTACCCAACTAGACTTAGTACCAGTGAGCTCTTATTCAATAGTTTTTCTTTCCAGTTTTGGCAGTTGTGTGATTTTCTCCTTGATAGTTCCTTGATTAGGGCATTGTTTGCTGGATTGTTTGTCTGGTGCTAATCCTTACTTATCTGGGTATTGGCTGCTGGGGAAGATGTGTTCTGGTCTTTGTTTCCTCCTTCACTTTTTATTGTCTCTTTTGAATGTTAATTTATAAACTGGTCTACCTCTTTGTCTATTAGTAGCTGATATGCCTGAGTGCCAAGCTTCCAGGAATTCCTAGTGTTTCTGGATTTAGCTTAGTCTAGAATGGTCACAGTTTCCTATTTAAAAATATGGTTGATTCTGTCCATGTGCTGTAAAATTAAGGAGTTTTCATCTTCTGACTGGCAGTTGGTATTCATGCATGTGCTCTGCTAGTCTTCTGCCTGTCTGTCCTACATTGTGGCTATTACAGTCCTTACACTGAATGGTGTAGATGACTCCTGATTTTTCTTCTTGGAGTTGTGTCTTTTGGCTTACTAGAGACGTTCTGGAGAATTTTAGTTGGTTTCTGTGCCACAGTGATGCTATGTAGTTGTAACAAGCTGTTGGTTGTTTCTGAGATATTTTTGATGTATGTTAGTGTTCTTTTTCATAGTATGTGTTGGTTATGCTGAGTGGTCAGACATTTTGGATAAAGCTGCATGGGTATCCACTTCGTTGGATATGTTCTAGAGGCAGTCAGTTTCCTTTTTGTTTTCTTATGTTGGATGGATTGTGGTCTTCACACATGTGCATACTCATGTACATGGATTCCCATGCCTGAATGTATACATGCAAACTACGTATCACTCTGTTTTTGGAAGAAGAGATAGAAAATGCACTCTCTTTCCATGTGCAATATTTCTGAAAAATAAAAAGAGCTAATTTGTAGATTGGATGGATTTTATTACTGGGAATGAAAAGCTATAGCACTAAGGCTTTGATACTTCTGGCAACTCAGTAGTCAATTGTGGACTTTGGGGAGACATTTAAACAGCCTATCAGGCAGCTTATTTGCAAGCCTGAGAAAGGTACTGTAATGCTTCAAGTAGCTTCGTCATCAAGAGAGTTATTTCCTGCTGGGGAAAATTGTTTCTCTTGTATCGTAGAGCTTTATCAATAGTCTTGATAGTTAAAGTGAGTTAGTCTCCTCACTTCATTGCACTAACCATCTTTTATTTTTATCTTTCATTGATTTTATTGTCATTTCTTTGATTCAATCATTGAAGGTCAGGCAGCACACACATTTCAACAACAACAATAACAATAATAATAAAACAGTATCAGTACCAATATAACTGCAAATACTGCCTCACAACCACAATATTTATGTTGCTAAGTGAGAAATTTGTTAAGTGAGTTTGGCCCCATTTTATGACTTTTCTTGCCACATTTGTTAAGTGAATCATTGCTGTTCTTAAGTTAGCAACACAGTTGTTAAGTGAATCTGGTTTCTCCATTGGCTTTGCTTGCCAGAAGGTCACAAAAGGTGATTCCCATGACCCCGGAACACTGCAACTGTCATAAATATTAACCAGTTGTCAAGCATCCAAATGTAAATCACGTGACTCTGGGGATGCTGCAATGGTCATAAGTATGAAAAATGGCCATAAGTCACCTCTTTTCAGTGCCATTGTAACTTTGAATGGTCACTAAATGAACTGTTGTAAATACCTGTACCAGATTAGGGGGAGGATGGGAATACTGGTGGTGGAGAAGAAAATTTTAAAGAACCTTAAGAAGGTTGTATACTTGGTACTCTGTTTCCTAGAGACATTTTTCACTTGTTAGCTTGATGTGGGTGAAATAGATATTTATTTATTTATTCAATTTGTATAGCACCCTTATCCAACCAATGACTCTGGGTGATAAACAATCATAAAAACTATTAAAAAGAAATGCTACTGCTTCTGGCTTACTTCTGCATACTTCAGTGAATCTCGTAGGTCAAGCCTGGAATCTAAAGATGGAATTTATTTTGTGTTAGATAGATTCCCATTATAACTCCCAAGAGCTATTCTGAGTTCTGCTGATATTAACCAATAGAAAGCTGTTTCCATCACAACTGAGCCATTTCTTTCAAAAGGTAGCAAAATGCCGACGCCTGCAGGCACCAAGTGTAGAAATTGCCACACAATGCCCGACTGTTCATTTCCCATTGAGTCACTGAAGTCCAGGAAACCACATGACTTGCATGGATATTTCAAAACTACAGTATTGCCTCAAAGATCTTTTGAGTAAGAGAACAAAACGGTGGGAGAGCTGCGATCCAGGAGGGTGGGGTGTCTCACTGATAAGGCCAACAGAATTGAGCACTGAGGGGTTTTTGGCTTTTTTTTTTTTAAAGCTCTGAGTTGCAAAACATCAAAATACAGTACAGTTGAGTTACTTTTTTGATTAAAAAAAGTAGACTTTTCCATTGTTGCTAGTTTCAGAAAGGAAGTCAAATACAGCAAGATACAGGAGCTATTGCTTAATGTGTCAGATCAGCACAGTGCAGACATTAAAGAGATAAATTCTGACCTTGTATTGTAACTACCATTGCTGTGCTGGGAAAGGACAGCTTGTCATAGATTATTTCAAGTTCCCTGGTCAGCCTCTTGCTTTCATCAGATGTGGGAAAGTTCAGCTACATGGATACTTACAACTAATTTCTGTACACTCCCCCATATTTCTCATCTGTTTTTGCCCTTCTGATTTAGGCTACATTGCTGCTAGGAAATAAGGCAACAGTACACAAAGCTAGTTTCTGTGCTTAAGGTTTGCACAGCTATAACGTTTTGGGCCACTTATGGCTGCATCAAGAAAACCAAATGCCTACTTTTAGAAAAATAAGCAAAGCACTTGTGATTGTTGGTTTCAGCTAAGACAGTGGTTCTCAACCTGTTGGTCGGGACCCCATTTGGGGTCGAATGACCATTTCACGGGGGTCACCAAACCATGCTGTCCGCCATTTTTTTCCTTTTTCCCTAGCTGTCCTACTCCCTCTTATTGGTGGCCACACCCACTTGGGGGTCACCACAACATGGGGAACTGTATTATGGGGTCACAGCATTAGAAAGGTTGAGAATCACTGAGCTAAGATGTATTCTCTCTCCTATCATTTCGTCTCCAATTATTGTAACAGGTACCAATGGATTATTGAAGTACTTAAGAAAAAGGTTTATCACCTCCATTTGAAGAATACTGGATGATGTCTGTAAATCCTTAGAATCAATAGAAGGAAATAAGTAACAAAAAAGCAAATAAGGCCTTAATTATAAGATCTAGCTTGGCAATGCTGTCCTTAGGAATGCTTTTCTAGAATCTATACAAGTACATACATTTTGAAAACATCCTTCAACCATTTAAACTTCATTTGTATTTATTAAATTCCAACATAATTCAAAAATGTACTTTCTCTGTCAGACACACTGGAATACATATTACTAAAGAATAATATATATAGTGTATTAGATTGAGTTTTTAAAAATTAAATTCTTATACTATTCTCTTGAAGATTATCCAAATAATATGCTACCTATCCATGGAAAATAAGATCCATATTGTTTAAGGTAACTTATTTATTAATATCTATTTTCAGTCAATGATATATTCTCCTCCTTCAGTGGTACAGCTGATATTTTTTAAGAAGTAAAAATAGTCCACAAGCTACCTTCACTAAATTAAAATTCTCTGACTTTTTTAAAAAAAATGTCTGTGCAGTTGTACAACTACTAAAGTTGAACTGATTGCTTAATAAATTATCTTGCTGCTGCACAATGATATTTAATTATTCACAGGCTGAGTAGATGTTGAAGTTGTGAGGTGGCATTCTACTTCATTAACAATTTCAAATCCTAGCAATTGGCACCATTGGTACTGAATTTTGTGATCCAGAAAAGGCATCTCACAAAGCTAATTTCCAGAGACAGCAGATCAAGACTCTAAAGGCAGATTCCACTGTATATTCAGGACATAATAATAACAACAAAAGTAACAACAACAATAATGATAATAATAAAAAGTTGGAAGGGACCTTGGAGGTCATCTAGTCCAACCCCCTGCTCAGGCAGGAATCCCTATACCATTTCGGACAAATGGCTGTCCGGAAGGCAAATGTTCCAGAAAAGGCAGG